GGGTGTGAAGTTCCCCCACTATGACTGTGTTGCTGTCAATCTTCCTCTTAAAGTACACCACGAAAATTTTTATATATTTAGGTGCTCCCACATTGGGTGCATATGTATTTATAAAGGTTATTTCCTCCTTTTGAATTGAACCCTTTAGTATTATGTAGTGACCTTCTTTGTCTCTTGTTATGGTCTTTATTTTGAAGTCTATTTTGTGAGAAGTAAGTATTGCTACTCCAGCTTTTTTTTTGTTTCCACCTGCATTGACTATTTGTTTTCAGCCAGTGTGAATCTTTTGCTTTCAGGTGGGTGTCTTGTAGACAGCATATATATGGGTCCTGTTTTCTTATCCATTCAGCTACCCTGTGCCTTTTGATTAGAGAATTTAATATGTGTACATTTAAGGTTACTACTGATATATACTTATTTAATGCCATTAAAAAAAAAAGTATCTGTACTGATTTCCGAGAGAGGAAGGGAGAGGGAGAGAGATATAAACATCAATGATGAGTCATTGTTCGGCTGCCTCCTGCATGACCCCATGGGGATTGACCCCACAACCTGGGCATGTGCCCTGACCAGGAATTGAACTGCGATCTCCCGGATCATAGGTTGATGCTCAACCACTGAGCCATGCCCAGCTGGGCTTTTTAAAAAATATATCTTTATTGATTTCAGAGAGAGGAAAAGAGGGGGAGAGAGAGCCAGAAACATCAATGATGAGAGAGTCATTGATCAAGCCCACAACCCGGGCATGTGCCCTGACCGGGAATCGAACCCCAATTGCCTGGATCCCAGGTCGACGCTCAACCACTGAGCCACGCCCGGCCGGGCCTGGCTGGGCTTTTTAACGCATTTTCCCCCCTTTAATCCAGTGTGCCTTGCTCTCAGTATTTCTTCTTAAAGCAGTTCTCTTAGCATTTCTTGCAATGCTGATTCAGTCACACTGAACTCCTTTAGCGTTCTTTTATTTGGGAAGCTCTTTATTTCACCTTTAATTTTAAATGATCGCCTTGCTTTATAAAGCAGTCTTGGTTACAGGTTCTTGCTTATCATTACTTTGAGAGCTTCATGCCACTCCCTTCTGGCCTTATGTGTATCTGTTGAGAAACCTGCTGTCAGTCTTATGGGGGTTCCCTTGTAGGTCACTGCTTGTCTCTCTCTTGCAGCCCTTAATGTTTTCTCTTATTCCTTGACATCTGCCATTTTAATTATGATGTGTCTTGGAGTGGGTCTCTTTGGGTTCCTCTTGTTTGGAGCCCTCTTCCTGAACTTGTACAGCTTTCTCCCTCAACAGTTTAGGGAAGTTTTCTGTTATTATTTCCTCCATCAAGTTCTCTATCTCTTGCTCACTTTCCTCCCACTCTGGAATCCCTGTGATGCAAATGTTGTTATGCTTCATGTTGTCCCAAAGCTCCCTTCGACTGTCCTCATGCTTTTTAAGTGTTTTTTCTTTTTGCTGCTCTGATTGTTTTTTTTTCTACCTTATCTTCTAAGTCACTTATTCTATCCTCTGCTTCATTGAGTCTGCTTTTAATGTCTTTCAGCATATTCTTGATATCAGATATAGTATTCTTCATTTCTGCCTAGTTCTTATTTATGCTATTTAGGTCTTTTTTTCATGTTTTCACTAAGTTCTTGGACCTTTCCATTAAGTGTCTTGTAATTCTCATTAAGCCTCTTTATAACTATTACACTGAACTCTATTTCTAATAACTTGCTTAACTCCACCTCATCCTGGCCTTTTTCTGGTGATGTTTCCTCTTCTTTAGTTTGGGGGTTGTTTCTTTGCCTCCCCATTTTAGTGGCTCTTAGTGTTTGTATCTGTGTATTAGATAGATTTACTGTCTACCAGTCTTGTGGTGTGGGATCTTGTAGTTTACATCCAGTGGAGCCTAGAGGTGTGTTTTCCTTATGCTTCTGAGCTATTTATTCTAGGTGTGTCCCTTTTGAGGGTTTCCCTTTTGTGGGTTCTTTGGCCTCTTCTGTTGTGACTGAGTCTAGGCTGTTGCTGAATGGTTCTTGGGAGGACTCTCCTCTCAGGCTGGCTAACTGTGTGGCTCAGCCCCAACCATATCGTGTGAGCTGTTGTACAGGTGCTGGCAAGGCAATACAAAACACAACCAAACTGACAGGAAACAAGCAGTATCTTAGAAAATATCCTGACAATCACAATGAAAACGTCTCTGGAGAAAGTATAATTGGGGGAGTGAAGTGAGAACACAAATGCTAAAGGGAAAAAAAAAAAAAAATATATATATATATATATAGAGAGAGAGAGAGAGAGAGAGAGAAAAGGGTATTATTGCTAATAAAGAAAAATAAAATAAAAAGTAAAAAATAGAGAAGCTACTGGGAGATAAAAGGGGCAGAGAAAAGATTGTGAAGGAAGGGTGAGCAAAAAATTAAGGGTAGAGAGTTGGAATAGGAAAATAGCTGAAAAAGAAAAAATAAAGGTAAAATAAACAAACAGAAACGAATATAAAGACAGGAAGACAGAATAAAAGGGTTCGAAGAAAAAAGAAAAAGTTATGCCAATGGAACAAGAAGAGAGGGAGCGATAAAGCAAGGGCAGGGAAGGTGTCCAATAAGAGATTTGGGTGAACCATAGAGAAAAGCAGTAAACTTATTGGTTATAATGATAATATCTCAGCAGTAAAGCAGAGAATATCAAGAAAATGTTGATAACAGAACAAAAAACAAAACTAAGTAAAACAAAAGGAAAGGAAAACAAATTAAAAAAAAATTAAAACCATTCAAAAAATCTAAAAAGAAATTTTCTACAAAAAAAAAAAAAAAAAAAAAAAAAAAGGCTACAT